AAGAATCAAAATATATCAGGTACAGGTACAAATTCCCTATGATGGGCCAGGAGTGGTGGTGCATGCCTGTAATCCCAGGACTCAGGAGGCAGAGGCAGGAGGATTGCTGAGAGTTCAAGGCCAGCCTGAACTACACAGCAAGACCCTGTCTCAAAAACACCAAAAATAGTTTTTTAAAAACTTCCATATGATGAATATGATCATTAGGTATACCTAAAATGTACCAATAGACTTTTAATTAAAAAAATAAAGATGCTTTCAAAGGCCACTGCTAGTAACACTGAGGAAAAAAAATGCCTTCATTTGGATTTGATCATGCTGTATACTTAACCTCTGTACATTAGTGTTTTCCTCCAGAATGGGCTAATAATCATACCTATATTCCAGAATTAATGTTATGATCAATGTAATCACTATATACTCCAAACATGTACTAGTAAAAATAAAAATATGTTACAATTAAACTACCAAAGTACTTGATAAAAACTGACACTAAATAAACAGTACTGGCTACGTGCCACAGCACACACCTGTAATCTTAGCTACTCAGGAGACTGAGGCAGAAAAACCAAAAGTTAGGGCTGGGGATATAGTTCAGTGGCATAAGTGCCTGCCTAGCAAGTGCAAGATCCTAAGTTTGATTCCCAGTGCCAAAAAAAAAACCAGAAAAACCAAAAGTTTGAGGCTAGGCTGGGCCACTTAGCAAGGCCCTGTCTCAGAAATAAAATACAAGGGGTAGGGATCTACAGCTCAGCAGAAGTGCACTTGCCTAGAATGCAATAGGCCCTGCGTTCAACTCCTAGTGCCAAATAATAAATAAATAAACTTTAGCTACGGTAGCAGTATGTATCTACCTCATTCTCTTTTTTTTTCTTTTTGAGACAGGGTCTCACTATACATTTCAGGCTGGCCTTGAACTCACTTCGCAGCCCAGGCTGGCCTCGAACTTGCAGTGATCCTCCTGCCTCAGCATCATGAGTGCTGGGATTACAGGCGTACACCACCACACCAGTATCAGCCTTTGAAAAACTGCTGTAAATCAGTAACAGAGACTAAATTATAACGCAGGATCTAGGGCTGGGGATATAGCTCAGCAAATGGCACAGCATTTGCCTGGCAAGCCCAAGATCCTAAGTTGGATTCCTGGTACCAAAAAAAAACCAGGACCTAAATCAACCAGATGTCTTCCTAAAGAGTTTTCCAGCTTCAACTCTGTTTCTACAGCAGATACTCACTTGCCCATGCCCCATTCTCTCTTGCTCTCTTTAATGTTTTATGAGAGCTTTATAGAGAAAGAATTCACATGCCATAAAGTTACCTTTTAAAAATGTACAATTTAGGTTTTTTGAGGGGGCCTATTTACAGAGTTGTACATTCATTAACACTATCTAATTTCAGAATATTTTCTGCCAGGTACTTTAGTACACGCTTATAATCCCACCACTTGGAAGGCTGAGGCAGGAGGATCACCAGGAGTTCAAGGCCAGCTTGAATTATATAGCAGGACTATATCTCAAAAAACAAACAAAAATTTCATCACCCCAAAAAGAAACCCCATACCCATTAGCAGTTATTCTTACTCCCCACCCCTATCCCCTGGCAACCACTAATCTACTTTTGTCTCTGCAGGTTTGTTTCTTCCAATTATTTCATGTAAAAGGAATTATATAATATGTGACCTTTTGTATCTAGCTTCTTTCACTTGGCATGTTTTTATACATATTATAGTCTGTAATATATTCTTCTTCATTACCAAATATTTCTTTTTGGTTATAGGAAGCTACTGGGATTAAAACCAGGGCCTTACCCAAGTGCTCTCTCCAGCTACATCCCAGTCCTTTTTTTTTTTTTTTTTTTTTTTTTTTTGAGACAGGTCTTGCTATCCAGTTCAGGCTAGCCTTGCGCTCACTTTGTAGTCCAGGCTGGTCTCAAACTCGCAACGATCCTCCTGCCTCAGCCTCTCGAGTGCTGGGATTACAGGGATGTGCCACCACACCCGGCTCTTTTCATTTTATTTTGAGACAGGGTCTTGCTAAGTTGCCTGGGCTGACCTCAAACTTTTGGTCCTCCTGCCTCAGCCTCTCAAGTAGCTGGGATTGTAGATATGTGTCATCTTGCTTTGTTGCTTGTGAGAAGTTTTTAAATTATTAATTCAGGGGCTGGGGATTTAGCTCAGTGGCAAAGCGCCTGCCTGGCAAGCTCAAGGTCATGAGTTCGGTTCCCGGTACCAGAGAAAAACCAAAAAAAACAAAAAACAAAAAACAAAAAACAAATAAATTATTAATTCAATGTCCTTATTTGTTGTAGGTCTATTCAAAGTTTCCATTTTTTTCTTGAGCCAATTTCAAAAGTTTATATCTTTCTAGGAGTTTGTCTGTTTCGTCTAGGTTATTTAATATGTTGGAATATACTTATTCACAGTATTCTTTTATAATCTTTATTATTTTTATAAGATTGGTAGTAATGCCCCCTTTTTCAGTCCTGATTTGAGTTATTCAAGTCTACCCTTTCTGTTGTTGGCCAGTCTACCTCTAAGGATTTGTCACTTTTGCTGATATTTTCAAAGAACCAACTTATGATTTTATTGGCTATTTTTCTATATTCTGCTTATTTCAATTCTATATTAGTTCCTTTATCCTGCTTGTATAGGTTTAATTTGTTCTTCTTGTTTTGGGGGGGGACTACTACTGGAAACTTAATCCAGGGTCTTCTCATTAAATCCCTTTTTATTTTTCATCTGTAGACAGGTCTCACTAAGTCACTCAGGGTAAGTTTGAACTTGCAAACCTCTTGCCTCAGCCTCCCAGAATGCTGGGATTATAGGTATGTGCCACCATGCCCAGCTTTTTTCTAGTTTCTTAAGAAGACTAGCTTGCTGACTTTAGGTTTTATCTTTTAATAAGCATTTATAACAATAAATTTCCTTATAAGCACCTCTCTAGCTGTATCCTGTATTTTGATATGCTGAATTTTCATTTTCATTCATCTTAAAGCACTTCTAATTTTCAATGTAATTTCTTTTATGACCTATTGTGTTTCAAGAATTGTGGATTCATTTCCACTACTTGTGAATTTCCCAAACTTTCTTCTGTTATTGATTTCAGAGAACATACACTGCATGATTTTTTTTCTAAGACAGAGTATCGTTACATAGTTCAGGCTGGCCTTGAACTCACTATGTAGCCCGGGCTGGCCTCAAACATGTGGCAATCCTCCTGCCTCAGCCTCCTGAGCGCTGGGATTATAGGTATTTACCATCATGTCCAGCTGCATGATTTTAATCTTTTAAAATTTATGGAGGTTCATTTTATGGCCTGAGATATAGTCATGTATCCTTGAAAAGAGTATGCACTCCATGGCTGTTGGACATAGTGTTCTATGGATATGTGTTACATTTAGTTGGTTTCCTCTGCCTCTTTTAAAACAGGCTTACCAGCTAGCTCACATTACACCCTACTACTCTACTTCTACTCAGTCTTCCCTCTCAGGTCAAGAAGCTATAGCTCTTTGAGCCAGGTGTCAAGGTGCATGCCTATAATCCCAGCACTCCAGGTTTGAGGCAGGAGGATTGCTGCGAGTTCAGAGCCAGTCTGGATTATATAGTGAGCTCAAGATTAGCCTGAACTACATAGCAAGACCCTGTCTCAAAAAAAGAAAAAAAAAGGGGCTGGGGATTTAGCTCAGCGGCAAAAGCGCCTGCCTGGCAAGCGTAAGGTCATGAGTTCGGTTCCCGGTACCGGAGAAAAAAACAAAAACAAAAACAAAACAAAACAAAACAAAAAAAGAAGTTACTGTCCTTCAATAATAACAATAACAGCAGCAGCCACAGCAGTCAGTACTTACCCAGCACATTCTCTGTGCCAGGCACTCTTCTAACTTCACATAAAACCCTCATCTCATCCCCCCACACTTACCTTTGTACCCCAACCAGCTGTTCCTCAGTATAAGTGGAGCTGCCCTCCCCCTGCCGGGTCTGGTTCTGCTCATTTTCAGGCTTCTTTCCCTTTGCTGCCTTCATACAGTCACAGCAACCGCAGGGGTCGTGGCTCTCGGGGGGTCTGTCCTCCGGGTATTTGTTTCTTCTGACTGCATCAATGTAAGCTGTGAGGCAATAGCCCCTCCATTAGGCCTCCATTTGACCCCGAAAATCAACTCTGCCATCTGCCTCCACTCTACAGGATGCTTGTTGGCAAGAGAAGGTGAGTGCAAAGAACAGGCTGACACAGTGCTGACTTTTAAGCATCCACACAAAGCTGAATAAACATTTTCCACCTACGGAAACTTATATAAGCCAGAAGCATGAAGCATAAGCCCACCATATTTACAGTGGTCGGTCAGCAAATAATCTTGACTTAGAGACAGAAAAGGAGCCCGGCATGTAATCCTAGCACTTTGGGAAGCTGAAGCAGAAGGACTGCAAGTCTGAGCCCAGCTTTGGCAACTTAGTGACTTAGTCAGAACTTGACTCAAAATAAAAAAAGCCAGGCATGGTGCTGCACAACTGTAATCCCAGCACTCAGAAGGCTGAGCCAGGAGGATCCCCATGAGTTTGAGGCCAGCCTGGGGTATCTAGTGAGTTCAAAACCAGCTTGAACTATATTGTATGTCCCTGTCTCAAACAAACAAACAAACAAACAAATAAAAAGATAAAAATAGACTGGGGTTGTAGCTGAGTGTGAAGGCTCTGGGTTCAATCCCCAGTATCACACAGACAAGATAGACAGACAGACAAACACAAACACACACACACACACACACACACACACACACACACACGGCGGAGGGAGGCTCAAAAGAGGCATTTGCCCAATACCCTGCCTTTAGTTCAGTCCAGGAAAAAGCCTATTTCTCTCTGTTCCATGGTCAGAAGTGTCAATACCTCCTACCCATATTTCTTAAATAGAGAGGAGTTTAAACTACGCCCTATAAACCTAATATGCACTAAGACCCCTGGCTAGATCAGGGAGACACTTGAATAAAGCCTACTGTTGACCACAAAGAGGTTATAGTTTAATGTGAGAGGATTAAATAAATTATAATCCTTGAAGAATGTAGGGAGGGTTTCATGCAATCCAGTCAAAGACAGCAGAGCACTTACGTCTTGTCTGGGCAACCTGGGAAAAGCTTTCCAACCATCTTTCAGCTGGGTTTGGTGGTGTTCACCTGTAATCCCAGCATTCAAGAGGCTGAGGCAGGAAGATTGCTGAGAGTTTGAGGCCAACCTGGGATACATAGTGAGTTCAAGACCAGCCTGGGCTATAAAGACTCTCTCTCTCAAAAAAACAAAACCAAACAAACAAAAAACAAAGACAAAATCATCTTCCTAGCCAGGCATGGTGGCACACACCTGTAATCCCAGCACTCTGGAAGGCTGAGATATGAAGATTCCAAAGTTTGGGCCCAGCCTGAGCAATTTAGCAAGGCCCTGTCTCAAAAAATAAAAAAAAAGCCTGGGGATGTAGCTCAGTGAAAAGCTCCTGGTTTTATTCTCCAATATTCCAAAATGACATCTTCCTACCCAGCAGTGGTGGCACATAACCGTAATTCCAGCACTCTGGGAGGCTGAGGAGGACCTTAAATTCAAGGCCAGCCTGGGCAACTCAGCAAGATGCTGTCTTGAAATAAAAAATGTTAAAAGGGCTGGAGTGTAGTTCAGTGCAAAGGCCTTTAAAAAATAAAAAAATTCCGCCAATTTAACATCCTTTGCCTACCCATTGCTCCTTGGCCGCTATCTTAAATCAGCTTGGCTAACTCCGTACCCTGCATGCTATCCAACGTAACACCTCGGTGAAGCCTCCTTTGACCTCCAGGCTGCGCTGTGCGCCTTATCGGTGTGTCCCCCCCCCGCCCCTCCCCCTTCCTTGCTGTGTGCACTCGTCACTCTGAATGGACTGACAATTCCGCGAGTTCGGAGGCCCAAGTCTATCAAATCTCTGCTGCAGGATCCGCAAAATGCGGAGCACATAAAACGTATTGGATCAATACTTTTTGCCTGACTGCAGCATGGAAAAGGACAACCTATCGGTCCTGACGCGGCGGCACGGACAAGATCAAACTGGGACTGAATGTCCGGAGGCACGATTTGGGGAGTCAACGATACACGCCGGGAAAGCAAGCTAGCTGCGAGGCCGCAGCACCTCGGGTCCAGTCACCCGGCGCAGCAAGGGCCGCCGCCGCGGGCCCTGGGCGGGCACGGGCGGGGCGGGGCAGGGGACCGGAGGCAACGAACTGTCACAGGTGACTGGGCTCCCGGCCCGGGCCCCAGCGCAGGCCGGCGTTCCCGGTTCCGGATCCCTGTATCTGCCCTGGGCATCTCGCCCGGCAACCGGAACCCCGCTCCGCCTTAGCATCTCACAGGCCTCCATCCTTCACTTCAGGCGCCGGATCTCAGCCATCACGCGCCTTATCTCTCCAGAATGCCGCCTCGTCCCACCCTGCGTCCAGGTCCTGGTACCTTCAGTCCAGCGCTCCCCGCTGCCCAGTGGGGCCGACATATCGGTTTTCAGACAGCGGGTCCACTGAGCCTCCCTGCGCCCAAGGCTGCAAGAGAAGGGGGCGCTGAGCGCGAGGCACGCTGGTCATTGTAGTTCGGTGCCCTGGGCTGCCGGGGCGCGGGACTACAACTTCCGGCAGGCCCCGCGCGAGGGCCCGCAGAGCTGCAGAGCTGGACCTTTGCAGCTGAGACCAGTGGCGAGGCAGGTGACTGCGTGCCGCGTTGGTACTGACTGTTCCTCTGTAGAGTGGGCGTAGTGGCTTCTACGCTGCCTAGAATTGAGGACTTTCAAGGCTGCGCGACTGAGGATCTTTCCTGCGAAGGGCTGCACAAACTGTTGGCTAGAGGTGACAGTTTGACAGTTTGACTGTTATTCTCAGGGATGTCCTTTTATTTATTTATTTAGTGGTACTGGGGATTGAACTCAGGGCCTTGTGCATGCTAGGCGAGCACTCTACCACTGAGCTACATCCCCAGGCCAGGGATGTTCTTTTAAAATGTATGTCAGTGCCTATTCCGTGCGAAGTCTTTCCTTGGCCCTGGAGATTCGGAGATGGTTGGGGGACGCCTACCCTGGCTCTGGGAAGCTTAACAGCCGCAAAAAATAGAAAGGTAGACTCCTCCACTGTGGTGAGGAACACAGCTATTCAGGAGGCAAAGCAGGAGGTAGTGAAGGAGACAGCTGGAGAAACAAGGCAGGGCCTGCCTTGGAGCTTTCTGGGCTAGATCCACCTTCTGAGTTAAACATTAGGCCCCAACCAGGATATCCAGGTGTAAATACAATGAGAAGTAACCAGGTAACCCAGTGTATGAACAGTAAGTTTGTGTGCATGGCCCAGAGTTCAGAAACCCCTGGTCCCAATTACCATGTCTTTTTTATTTTTATTTTTTTTTGATACCAGGAATCAAACTCAGGACCTTGTACTTGCCAGGCAGGTGCTTGTGCTACTAAGCTATATCTCCAGCCCCCTAGTTACCATGTCACTGACTGTGCAGTTTTGAGCCATCCCCTTGGCTTTGGGCAATATAACTGTTTTTCCAAGGGCCGTTAAAGGTCAAAAACCCCTCTGCCCCGTGGAGAGCCCAAAACCAAGCCTCCCATTGGCAGGAGCCACACCTCAGACTGACCTTTCAATCCCACCCCAAACCTTATTGTTTAACAAACTTCACACCGAGCCTCTTTATGGGCCAAGAGCTCTCCTCATTGGCCCACCCCCACCCTGTGGAGTATACTTTCAATTTTAGTAAATACTTGATCTTGCTGCTCAGATCTTTGTTCAGGACATCGAGAAACCTGGTAATAGGAAGAGCACTTGAGTTCAGAAGTTTGCGACTAGCTTGGACAAGGTAGCAAGACCCTAACTCAAGGAAAAGAATAAAAGGTGAGGTAGATGTACAGAATTAGAGGGCAGCCGGGTATGCCCCACCCCCAGCCTGGCTCCTCAGACATCACAGAGAAAGATAAAAAGGCCAGGTTTGGGGCCCCTTCAGAGCCCCATCTTCACTGTTCCTTATTTTTACTCCATCCTGTGGTACTCTGGCAAACCTCTGGGACTTTGTTCGTCTTTTCCAGGATGGTCATTTCCTTAGCCCATTCCTTTTTTTCTCTGAAGGACCAGGTCTAAGGAACTATTCTTACTGTTCTCCATCCTGGCTTGCATGGAGTCTAGCAAAGAATAAAAGTGATATTTTCACTTCATTTATGGGTAAAAGGCTAGTGACCTCACTCACTGATTTATGCATGCAGGAAGGTGGGTAGGTTGGGATGGCCAAAGTCAGGTTTACAAAAGGGCAAAATTATCCAAATAACTATGTGGAAAAAATTACAGTACCTGGAATTCACTCAGATTTTGCCCAAGAAGGCCTAACCAATTATGATATCATCCAGCAGCTACTTCAGCTGTTGAAGAAATCAGGTGTGGCATGGGGACGTGCAGCCCCGGACACACACTGAGTAGGTTTGTGACAGAAGGCGGTTCCCGTCCTTTGGATTCATAGCTCTGACATCACTGGTGGTTCCAGGGGAGCCCCAAGAGGACCAGGCCTTGCAGGCAAAGCACTGGTTGAGAACTTAAATGTGGGTAATAGTTGGGATTTCACCACAAATCAGTGTGTGACCCTGACGAACTCTCTTTGTTTCCTTTGGCTTCAGTCTCTTCACCTACAAGCTAAGAAGGTTAGATTACTATATT